GTCTTTGTTCTTCCTTGCAGGAACAAAAGTACCCTAACACAGCACAAAGGGCAGCCATAAAAAATCCATCAAACTTAATTTTTTGAAAAGGAGTCATTTCAGCTGCTATCCTAAACCTGGGTAGGTAAGAGATATCCAACAGAAATCTCAGTGAAATTATGGATCAACCAGTCAGATATAAGAATCATGAATGTGGGTGTGGTCAGGCAGTATGGAATGAATGGAACAGGAACAAGATCGTGGGAAACAAATAGGCCCTCAAGCAAGCAGAATGATCAGACAACAATAAACAGGAAGAGACATGTAGACAACCTCAAGTGATCAAAAAAAACAAAGCTGAAATTGTGTATAAAACAAAAACAACAGCCGCAATTAATATTATTAACAATTAATGACACAAGAAATCATCACATAACCATGAAAATTATAATAAACATTGTATGCTATGCGTTTTTGCCACTCTACTGCTACAAGTTGAATTCTGACATTTTCATTGTAAATATCCCAAAAATATGGTACAAATTTTAATCTTACAAGTATGAGTTCAGCAAATCATACACTGTTATCGTGAACGATTAGAGTACGAGGCAGCTGCTGATGCCTTCTCAATACAAAATTTATCTTTCAAAACTACTTCTAATTGCTGGAATATCAATGAGAAAGCCCCAGCAAACAAAAAACCCCTGTAAATAAAAATTAAGAATGCATCGTAGACTTGGTTGCAGAAAAGTAACTCATATGGAAGTAGACACTGATTTTTATCCAGCACAAATATACACAAGTTTTTTATTAATTTGATGTAAGAAAATTTGTGATACAATAGAACATTAATCTAAGTTTTCCCCATGTAGCAGACTAATGTTGGCAACCGCTGAAGTTGCCATTAATAATCCAAGAAAATGCAAACTGAAAACTGTCAACCTAGAAACAGTAGTAGAAAACAAACTTGCAAGGGTTGAGCCTAGAAAATTCCTCACCCATTGGCCTCGTGATCTTAAATTGTTTACATATCCACAAGAGGAGGCTGAACTAGGCATCACCAGTGAAGTCCAAAAAGAAGCAGGCATCACCTATGAGACACAGAGGTGATGATGATAAAATGATGAAACCGGCATAGGTGTAGCATGGCTCAGGTAGAAGGCGTTATGACACCAGTAAGACAATAAATACCAAGTTTGTGAGCAAAATGAAGAAAGTTGTTCTAATGGAAAATAGAACAAAGGCTTTGTTTTGTCAAGTTGAGAACTATGCTTCTAGCAAAATGGTTACAGAATAGCAGTTAAAGGTAGTTAGAGTGCTATTGTAACAGCTAAATTAACTCTGTTTAAATTAAAGCACACCCTTCGACAAGAAAGATAGGTGACTACCTGAGACTGGGCTTTCTTTAAGCTGCAATGATCCTTTCACCAAAAGTGTGCCCGGGATTTGTTGGAAGACCTATAAATAGTGATAAAAATACCATCATACATATGTTTAAGCAGCAGCAAGACATTATATTCTAGTCAAATACTGAGGAAAAGTTACCGAGATGCAGAAACACAAATCATCGGATGGATGGCCCAGACTTCTTGGATAATTAAATTTCTCTACTTCATACCAGCAACTACCCACTTCATTGAAAGAGTGACCCATGCACATGAAAGAGTGTTTCGAGTAAGGATATAGAAAAATTACATCACAGAACATCACAACCACATGTTGAAGTGATTGAGCATACTTCAACATTAAATGTGGAGAAATTTGATTTACAGGATGCAACAACAGCACTGGAAAAGTACTCCACTGATTGCAACACCAGAATGGCAGTGCATTGGAGTTGAAGACCCTGGATGGGCAGTTATTTAAACAGGAGTTTCCTACATGTTTATTTATCATATGGCTGGTTTATCATGAAAACTAACTACATACATATTAAACAGGAATTCCCTGAATATTGAGTTGGGGTGTTCATCCTCAACAATTTTCTTAGTTCTAAATTTCTAATGATTAATATGCATGTATCTTGGACAGCCGGCATACCTGTGTTTTGCATTTGAATTTCTTATCATTGGGAATAACAAATCACGACATAAAGAATGAAGTTTGCATTGATTAATTTAGTTCGCAAACAAACCTGTGAGTGTATTTAGGATATCATGCAATTTGATTTCTGACAACAGAATAATCACCCACCACAGAAGTATATGCATGTGTGTGTAATCTCTCCCTGAAAAGTTGCCAAAAAGTTTGGAAAAAGGTCATAAAATTGAAGTGTTAACCCATCCTCATTCCCACTTACTTCTATGGTAACTCAAAAACTGAAAAATGCATAATGATGAAATCTCATAAAGATAAATTTATAAACATAAATTTATTGTCAAAAATGATGAGAGAGGTTCTAACCATCTTAATCCAATCATTCTGAGGAGACTAATTAAGACTAGTTACTTGTTAAAAACAGTTTATGTAGATCTATTTACAGACCAAAGCATAATATATTAAATGCTTAGCGGGATGACTTCGGTTCATCAGAGATCTAGTACATTGTATGAATTCAAAATTATCCAAAGTTAAATCAGAATCAATAAATAAATGAAAAATCTGCACCAAATTAAACTAAACCTTCACAAATTCAACAAGAAGCGAAATGGTAAAAAGGTTAGATAGATAAAACACAATAATAGAGCTCAGAATGTGTAAAGGTACTTATAGATCACAGCACAATGCGTGCTGAGAGAGAGAGAAAACGATCAGAGAGTCACCTCAGAGAGAGCCAAAGAAGAGGAGTCGCCTGTGAGAGGGATGACGAGGAGTTGTCGCCTGAGAAGAGCCGGTGAGAGTCGTCCCCAGAGAAGTCGAGAGAATGAATTGAAAAAAAATTTAAGTTTACGTTGGTATAGGAAAAAAAAAATATTATTATTTTTAATTAAGAATTTGTGGCGTTCGAGTTAAACGCCGGAAATTAAGAGAATTTTTTTTTTATTAAGTTTATGTTGGGGAAGGAAAAAAAAAAATTTATTATTTTTAATTAAGAATTTGTGGCGTATGACTTAAACGCCAAAAATTAAACGAATTTTTTTTTTATTAAGTTTATGTTGGGGGAGGGAAAAAAAAAATTTTTGGCGTTTGACTTAAACGCCAGAAATTAAGCAAAATTTTTTTTTATTATTTTTATTAATATTATCTGGCATATAGAAACAAACATCAATTTTAGTGGCATTTAAGTTAAACGTTAAAAATTAAATGACAGATTTTTCCATAATTCTTGTAGTGATTTATTTAAATCTATACAATTGATCAACTACTCTGTGCTTTTCGCTTTAATCCTATACTTGACATTTATGTGTCCAATTGCATTAAGATAAGGTACTAGAATATCTAAAAAAAATCTAAACCGCATTGGGACAATTTGAAAAGAATATCCTAGAAGATTAAAATAAGGTAATAGAATATCTAAAAAAAACCTAAACCATATTGGGATATTCTAATAGTATAAATAGCCTACAAGACACAAGGCCATGCAAAATCCTAATAACTCTAAGCGGGCAGGAAAATATAATTGATGAGATGTTTCCACGAATTAATGGGGAGATGACACGTGTCATCGGCATGATGAGCATGGAGCCTCCATGAATCCACGCATGTCCTCGGCGCAACAAGAATCGGACCCTCTATAATTCGACACGTGTCCTCAACTCAAGACTCCTCAGATCTCTCTGAGACTGACAAGTGTCATTGGCGTGAGTCCCTCACAGAACATTCGTCACTTGACACCCGTCCTTGGTGTCCCAAATCCCACGAGGATCCCTCCTCTTGACATGCGTCCTCGACGTCGAGTCCCCACTCCGCCTAGGTGTTGACAATCATCCTGGCGCTTGGCCTATGCCAAATGGTTAAGTTCTTAAAGGAATCAAGAATGACGTCACCACATTAGAGATTGGATTATCTATTAATCATCAATTCCCCTTTCCAAGGCAGCCAAAATGGTTGCAAAGACAATTTAGCAACCAATGAGGAAGACGTCTGGTGTACAAGATATGTAATTATTGACCCCTTGGGGGTGATGGATGAAAGTGTCTCTGCGCTTGCGCAGCCACAACCAGAGCTCATTAAATGACCCAACAAAAGGATGAAACATATTTATTGCTTGACAAAGTCAGAAAAACGAGCATTAAATGTTCGGGGATTCAGGCACTATATGCATAAGCTTTTGCCGCGTGAAAAGCAAGGCACTCTGCTCAAGGACAATGCACCACATGTTGCCTTCCAAGTGAGCCAATGAAGAGTCTTCCCTCTAAGGGACCCAGTTGTTTGCAATGGTTAACTCTAGAGAGGTATGAATAACACTCTCAAACACAAGTCTAAGACACGCAAAATCTCACCCAAGTAATAAAACAATGTTTTTCTAACCCTCTATCAAATACTGACTTGATCGTCAGAGGGGTCACACCAGAACACACTCTGGTGCCCTCCTACCTTTTTTTTAGTGACAAGACTCAGTTCGATAACTTAAGAATGACCAGAGCAATTTTGCGAAGAGTTCCATCATCCTCTATTACCATCTCTCAACACCCATTTGCTGGGGAACCTCAACTTTCCAAGCAAATTCAAGTTCATCAAGGGAGAGATCTGTCAATCTATTTACTGTGCGAAAATCATTGCGCACAATTTGGCTCCATCTGTGGGAAATAACCAAGTTTTTCGGTGATAGTGACCATGGTGAATACGCATTTAAAAGGAAAAGGTCCTCAACAGAGGACCATGGACGTGCTAGCTCTATCCATTTCACAAACAAAGGATCAGGTCGAAAGCGTCAACAAGAAGCTTTCGATCCATTCTAAAGAAAGAACCCGCCAAACTGAACTAAGCCTTGGGGGTGAAATGGATGGGCCCCTAGCCTGTTAACTTGTCAACTTCATCGAAGATTGGTTGAGGGACTGCTTGAGGCAGATTGAGGAGAACAACGTAAATGTTCTCAACAGACTCAACGAATTTGCACTCTCCGACTATGTTTCTCGAAAATCGCAATCATCTAAGGAGCCCTCCATCAAGGAGGTAGGGGCCGGCGACTTCAGGAACAGCCTCAATGGCAGAGCATGGGGCTCCAAAACTCCCAAATGCCCGAGGGACAATGGACAGGTCCCGGAGTCCCAGCAAAGAGGGCCAGACCCTTGGCTTGGAACGGCTTCCGTCAAAGACTATCCGGGCGAAGGCTTGCGGAGGAGTCCGATGAGGGGTCGACCCTCTCCGTAAAGAATGGAGGAGTCGGGAGGCATGCCGGCCATCGTGACTATGATGGAAGGAGGCACCACAAGGGCTAGGGGGACCAGAGGTCTAAATTGAACTCCATAAGGATGGACAAGTCCACCCCAGATGACGACCTAAGCAACGAAGTCATTCAATCACCATTCACTAGAAGTATCATGGAGGTGGAGATACCAAAAAAGTTTGTGGTGCCGCAGTCTAAGGTTTATGATGAACGTTCTGACCCAAAGGCTTATCTCCGACAATACAAGCAATTGATGCCTCTATACCACTCATATCATAGGTTGTTGTGCCGGGTGTTTTCAATGAGCCTAGGCGATACGACCATGAAGTGGTTCGAGACCCTTCCGATGAATAACATAGGGTCCTAGAGGGAGATGACTAGGCAGTTCTCTGCATTGTTCATCACAGGGAGCAAATGCCCCAAGGATGTCGGCTCCTTGTTGACCCTCTGGCAGAAGAAAGGTGAAATACTCCGCCAATACGTTGCTCGCTACTGGGAGGAGGTGAATGAGACGGACGGATGTTTCGAGGTCATGGTAGTGGCCTCTTTCAGACTCGACTTGGCTCGGGACACGGATCTCTATAGGTCATTAACGAAGTGGACGCTCGTGGACATGAGAAAGTTGATGGCCCGTATCAACAAATACTCTAGGATAGAAGACGAATTGGTAGGGAGTAAAGGAAAGAACTTAGCCCAAACAAAAAGGATTAGGATAAGGAATGAGTCCCTCCGAGGAAGGGTTTGGTCCTAGCATCGGGGAACTCCTTCATAGGGATCCACACCATGTTCAAAGAGCCCATTTACAAGTTGTTGCATAAGATCAAGAAAGAACCATTCTTTAAGTGGCCGCCTAAAATACTGGGTGATCCGTCCACTAGGAACTAGAATGCCAGGTGTTCGTACCACAAGGACGTGGGGCGCCTTACTGAGGATTGTCTAGTGTACAAGTCCTTCTTAGAGAAGTTGGTCCAAGAGGGATACCTCAAGGAGTACATCGAGAGAGACAAATTTCACTTATGACCACGCTCCTATTCGCGGTAATGTCATCCATGTTTGCCCCTTGGAGTGGTCAACGACCAATACTCTTAGGTCTGACCTGAAGAGGGTAGCCTTTGCCAGGAATGTGGAGGAGAAAGATGGGGGCCAAACAAGTAAGAAACTCCGGACGAATCAAGGAGATTTCACCTTCTCGAATGCCAATAGTCTTTCCCCCATGAAGATGCCTTGATCATAACTCTACGGGTAGGAAACTTTAACGTCAAGAGGGTCTTAGTTGACTCTGGAAGCTCCCTGGAGGTGATGTATCTCAATGTGCTGAAGAGAATGGGCATTGGATCCAAGGATCTCACCGCTGTCAAGACACCCCCTGTTGGGTTCAACAAATCTTTCACTCTAGGGAAAGATCACTTTGTTAGTCACCACAGGTTCTATCACGATCGACACAGAGTTCGTGGTGATTGATTCTAATTCACCTTACAACATAATCATGGAGTGAACTTGGTTGCACTCACTTAGAGTAGTGCACTCCACCTACCATCAAAAGTTGAAGTTCCCCACTCCAGAAGGGAAAATGGAGATTTGTGGAGACCAAGCCTCGTCAAAGAGTTGTTTTTATGCCGCCGTAAAGGTCGAGGTTATGTCCAACGAGAGGGAACGTGCCCCGGAAGAAGGGCTGAACAAATAACAACTACAGTCAGGATAGCTGGGCGTCAATGAGCCACGGATCGACCGCGCCGACCGGTCCATGGAAGACCTCTAGGAGGAGGGAGATGAGGAGAAATACTTTCTAATTGGCTCCACCATGTTCACGGCCGAGATGACAAATTTCTTAAGAAAAATGTGGATGTCTTCGCGTGGAACGCCGCGGAGATGAAAGGCATAAGTTCAGATGTTATAACTCACTGACTTCATGTTGACCCTAATTATAAGCCTATAAAGCAA